AGTGGGCAGAGGTTACATCACCTCTTTTTACAAATGGCAGAAGTTAAAAGTCAGAGAAACTGGTTTGTCTGCAGTCTCTTAACCCTTAGGTATGTTGGTTGTCTCATTTTATGACCACAAAATAATAGCCATTAGCCTAGAAAAGGTGTCTTAACAAGTTTCCTGCAACAAGTGGATGAAAACCATACAATAAGAGTGAATGGAGGAAGAAAACTGAAGAGGGAGATGACGTCAACAGAGGACACGAAACTGAGGGGTCTCTGCACATTAAGAGGGTAGAACAGGATTTAGAAAAGATTCTGTAAGAAAAACAAAGAACCAGGATGGGGCGTTTTTGAAGCCAAGAAGAGATACAAATTTTAAGGAGAAAAGTGTAGTCAACAGTGCTAGTGCACAAAATCAGTAACTGGTGTTACTTAGTGACATTCTCAGAGTTGTTTTAGCAGAATGTTGGGGATGACGATCTGATTGTAAGGGTTGCAGACTTGGGTAGAAAAAGGGTAGACAACTCTTTGAAAGAGTCTGATAATGAAGGAAAGAGACTTAAGGGATAAAGAAAGGGTTTATTTTTCATTAATTGCAAATTAGAACATGTCTGAACAAAGAAGTTAACAGCTAAGAAACTGAATATTTAAGGCATGGATTCTGTAAGCAAAGAGGAAGATACCTTAATTCAGCACAATTGCGAATAATATAATAAAGAAGTCAGATCAAAAAATTAAGTGAAAGTTAGTTTGGAAAAGAGGAATGACAATATAATTCCCAAGAACAGGAAGAATAAAAATAAAGATATTCTGACAAGACAAGGTGAAATAAGATAGAACTTTCTGATTGGTCTGTCTTTCATGAAAGAAAGAGGTAAATTCAGTCATCAGTGGAGAGTGACTGAAGGAGTCTAAAGCGAACAGATTAAAATTGGAATATCTATGGTCACTTTTAGCTCTCTCACTGATCTTGACAAACAGAATGAGTAAGAAAGCAATTAAAAGAAAGAGAGAAAAAGAAAGAAAAAGGAAGGAAGGGAGGGAGGGAGGAAACCAAAAATATCTGAGTGCACTGCAGGCCCTCCTGAAGTGAGCTAGTCTTAGCCCTACCATGTTTGTATAACTATCAATATAGTTGTTTGTATCCCCATTAGATTATAATTACGTAAGTGTAAAAGATGCTTATCTTGTTCATCACTTTATCTCCACAGGCAAATGGAACTCAGCAAGTACACAGAATGAATACGAATACGTAATAGACAAAATCTGCATACTGTTAAAAACTCCTTAATAGTTTCTGTTTGACAGATATTATGACAGAGAGGTAAAAAAATGTCCTTGGCTGATATTTAAGTTGTCCTCGTAGGCCCATAAAAGACATTAGCCTGCCTTTTTAAGTCAAAATTATAATTTGTTCAATAAATTTAAAAGAAACGAGGCATAAAATTCAATATTTTATTTTAATTTTTTAAAAATTTTATTTATTTATTTTTAGAGAGAGGGGAAGGGAGGGGGAAAGAGAGGAAGAGAAGCATCGACCGACTGCCTCTTGCATGCCCCCAACTGGGGACCTGGCCCAGGACCATGTGCCCTGACTGGGAACTGACCTTCTCGTTTGCGGGACAATGTCCAACCCACTGAGTCACACCAGTCAGGGCAAATTCAGTATTTTAGAAAAAAATGCAAAAACTAGGTTTTTTGGTTATGTTCAAATTATAGTCTGAACCTTACCTCTGAGCTACTTTAATTAGAATTTATTTGGAGTTCTTGGTAAATGAGAAATTCTACACAAATTAAGCTTTCACGTATTTGAAATGTCAGTCTACCTTTAAGAATCATACTTTTGTATCATTTTGGAAGGGAATCTTTTTACAAATACATGTCACATATTCCTGTCACCCAAAACAGAACTGAATAAAGATGATCTAACTTTTTCTTAAACAACGTGGGCGTCACCACTATGATACCAAGTATTATATCACATAGCCTTGTGGAAGGCTGAGTTACATGTAAACTGTTAAGTCTCCATTCTGAGTAGACCTACAGATCTATAGTTTTTAATCCCTGTTTCTTCAGTTGACTCTGTTTGCTCTTATCAAAGTGCTTACCCAATTTTTAATGTTATCCTACTATCTCAAGAGTGAATTTATCACTGAACATTCTTTTGTACTGTTTAGTTTTACCACCATGTACAAATGTTATTTTCAGTAAGAGGAGGAGAGACAGTTTTGTGAGCGTGAGTGTAGAGCAAAAAGATTTGGATTAGGGATTTATAAGCTGCCTTCTATCTAATATGAATGAGATTTTAAAACACAGTTTACTTATTTGCCAACTGAGATATGTGTCTACCCTTTCTATTTATTTATTATTTAGTTTTCTTTCTGATTCTCAGCTATGCTTTTAGTAACTCAAGGTTGCCAAGTAAGTAGCTGTTCTAACTAGTTACATTCCTTTGACATTAAACTAATTAAAAAATTCAAAAATAAAAATAACCCAAGTACCAACTTGAACTACTTTAAGATTTTTTTAAAAAAGTGGTTAAATGTGGGTGAGAAGGGTTAGTACTAAGTATTAATAATAATGATTAGTATTTTTATAAAGAATACTTAAAGAATTTTATCTATAAACACAAATCAATGAAGGTATTTAATACAAGTCTCTTCACTGAAGATAATGGTGCTGCTTTTGTTCTGCAAACCCCTATCTGCCTGCATTTGCACAGACGCCAAATTGTGATTTCACAATAAAGCAGTATTTTAAAATATTTTCAGATTCTGAAAGAAAAATTCTGGCACATTAAATTCATCTGATTGTTGAGTATTATTACATTTGTTTCTACTCTAAAGTCATAGCAAATTTTTTTTTAAATATTGAATTTTAAGTTTAAAAAAGCAGCAAATATGGAATAAAATCTCAAGTGCTCAGTAGAAGGAAAATGAACTATTTTCCAATAACTTTCACACAAGCTAAGAAATATAAATTTGAAGCAGGAAAAAAGCATACAAATGTTATTGCTGATCAAGAAGTAATTAAATAATTTAAAAATACAAGTGGACTAGGATGACCTTTTAAAAAGGAAACTGAGAATGCTGAAGTTCTAGTACTAAACTAGTCTTATGATTCAGAGAAAACTTCAATAATAGCTGTTAAGATTTTTACACCCATTTTGTGAAATAAAGCAGAAATAAATTTTTATTACATATTGTATACTTTCCCCAATATATCTGTGATAAAAAACTACCAATGAACCAACTCTCAAATTCAGAGGCCATTTGTTTAAAAATAAGCAATGAAAAAGCTTCTGCTAAAACCTATGTATACATGTAGAATCCAGACCTTTCTGTGCTCTTCTATATAAGGCTGCAAAGAGAGCAAATTATGTTCCACAGCAAAGGCATAAAAAGCTGGGTAAGAAGCTTGTTTCACTGCTAGAAATCACAACTCTGGAAATTGCTATGGGGACCACAGGGCAGACTCTTCACAGATTGAAAGCTGTGGAATCGCTAGGTTGTATCTTGTTTTTTTCTCAAATGGGAAAAACAGCCCAGGGTTTATCCAAAACAAAACTATGTTAAGCTAAAATGATATAGCGTTTATTACAGTTCCCCAAATATTGAAGAGAGTTACTAATATAACTTGAATAAGGGTCATGAACTGGTTCAACATACTTCACTGGTGGCTTTATGAGTTATAATGAATGCTGCTACTCTTTAAAAATGAATATATCAAAGGGGAAATAATCTCCTTGGCATGCTTACAGCTATACAACACATTAGTTTCATTATTTTCAAGTGCCAGTGCTGGAGGCTCAGAATAAGTCAATGGGAGGAGGACTTCAGTCACAGCAGCAAGCAGGTCTACTGAGCAGATAAGAGAAATGAACAAGTAAGAGGTAAGTATTTAACAAACAGAGAGTTAATCTATTTTTTCCTTAAAAAATTGTGCTACCACGGCTTTCATTTCTATTTAGTAGTTTAAAAACCAAACTGAAAATTTTACCAATGTTAAGGGGGAAATTTTTAATATGGAATTTGTAGGTTTTATTAATAAATGGTACAATCTTCCTCTTAGCTTCCCCTCCTTTCCAAGGAAATTGGGAAAGTTAAGGAAAAAATTACTATTTAAAACAAATTAAAAAAACTGGTTCAAATGTGGCATAAAGTGATAAATTTCGAGAATATCTATTGAGGAAACATGCTTTCTTTGAAAGATGAACTTACTAAAAACAATTATTTGGATGTAGTAATACCTATTACTTTGTTTTTTTCTCAAACTAAAGGAATCCTAAAATGCTTTATGAAAATGACATTTATATCAGTATTAAGATAAACTTGGTCAAGAAAATAAAAACAAAAACTCAGCTACAAATAAAACTTCCTAGCTGGTAAATCATTTATTTAGACTTCAGGTGGGCTGAGAGTGCTTCTAGGTACGTGGCTAGTGCATACCAAGAAGTTCAATTCTGAACTATTTCGTGCTTTGATGTTTCTATTCTTCTGTACATATTTTACAGTAACTGTACCACGTAGCTTTTTATTATACCAGTGAAATATCAGGAATGTGTCTGTGGGAACTGGCTGCACTGTCACAAGTGCATAAGAGATGTATTGAGAAGGGAGAGGCTACTGAGATCAAATGTTCTAATTGTTTTTTTAATATAAAATAATGTAATCCATATATTTTATATCTGGGGGACCTCTTTGATGTTCAAATTCAAACATGATCCTGCCACTAAAGAAAAATGAGAAAAACTAATACTTTTTTTCCCCACAGCTATCAGTTTCTTTCACAAAGCCTTCTGAAATCTGAGCCTTTGCAGAACATTAAACACGTGGGCCTTACCTACAGACATGGACAGATGCATGTATGTTCTCATGTTAGAGAACTTGAAATTGTTTTTAAAGGAAGGAGTCAACTTCAGCTTCAAGTACTTGGCATGAGTACAATGCCTTAAAAAAGCAGATGACCAGCTTAGCTACTGACCATGCTGACCATTGTCTGGAACCAGACCAAATCACAGAAAAACAGTGAATGGCTTTCTCTTATAGAACATCCGAACAAAACACAATTCCTGAGCACATTCTGCAGAGCTCGTTTGGTCACTTAATCTCTTCTAACTGGTCTGGATTACAGACAGAATCGATACCAGAGGAAATGAAACAGATTGGCGAGGAACAGGGAAACAAACCACGTTGGGCAGCTCTTCTGATACTGATGGTGATAATACCCACAATTGGTGGAAACATCCTTGTCATTCTGGCTGTTTCACTGGAGAAAAAGCTGCAGTATGCTACCAATTATTTTCTAATGTCCCTGGCAGTCGCTGATTTGCTGGTTGGATTGTTTGTGATGCCGATTGCCCTCTTGACAATAATGTTTGGTAAGTATTTCACTTTGTTCCTGCCATCAAATCACAAAACTATGATATAATACTAGAGAAATGAATACCTATTTAATCTTTAAAGATGGATGTGGATTATTTAAACATACAGTGAGTAAACAGTTCATTTTTCATCATTTTTATGGTAGTTTTAAGAGCAGAAAATAATTTCTTAGAAATGGTTCTACTCCCTCCTTAGCCATCTAATAAAATAATTTCGAAAGTCACCTAAATTAGTAATATTCATAGAGATTCTGGAAAACATTACTAAAAAATTATAGTGAAGAACAGATATATACTTCAACTTTTCCATTACTAATATATTTTTTTTCCCTGGACAAAGTCATAGCTAGGACACTTCTCTAACAGTTATGTACTGGGTTAATTATTAATAAGATTTTTGATTCATTAAGTTTCAATTTAAATCAATAAACCTCAATTTAAAATTAGAATTATCCTAACAATTCTTTTTGTATCTTTTTATGGTTTGTGAACGTAGACTTAAAACACAATTCTTACACAGGCATCATGTTAAGAAAAAATTATGTTTAGTTGCTGAGGGAAATGGTTTGGCTCAGAGTGTCCCATAGATGAGCCATGTATTTAATTTTTGTGATTTCTGACCACCCATGTCCTTGATATATGTAATAGAAATCAGACCTATAGGTTATTAGAGTAAGTGAACAATACTTGAGTTCTTACAGGAAAAAAAAAATGTAGTTTGATACTGAAATCTTTGTTATAATAAAGATATTAAAATGATATAAATAGTTTCTGATTGATGTATATCACTTCTAGTTATAAAATTTGAGTAAACACAAATAATTCTACTGGTGAATTATGAGGACTCCTAAAAATCAGCATTAAGAGGATATTTAACTTATTCAATGCTTGGCATAAACTGATTCTGTTCATTAAATGCTGAAGAAAAATGATTATCTGTAAGAGAATAGGGCTTCTTGGAATTATGTTTATATGGTGAAGATAAAATTATTTCAGATTGCCTGGCCAGGTGGCTCAGTTGAAGCACTGTCCCATACACCAAAAAGGTTTTGGGTTTCATCCTGGGTTTGATGCCCAGTCGAGACGAGTATGAGTTGCAACTGAAGATGTTTCTTTCTCACATCAATGTTCTCTCTCTCTCTCTCTCTCTCTCTTTCTCTCAAATCAATAAACATATCCTTAGGTGACGATTAAAAAAAGAAAAATTTCAGGTTATAGAAGCAAAGTCTATTTATTAGCCAAACTGCGTATTAGGAAAGTAAAGAAAAATTGTCACTCAAACTAAAATATTCAGGTTGAAATGTTAATTTTATAATTATAGAAAGATATCTAAAATTAAGTACCTGACCTCCAAAATATAATCGAATGGTGATGGGCTGAATCTTCCCATTCTAAGTCAACACTGATCCAGGCTTTAAATTCTGTGGCAGAGCAAGCAGTGAATAAGGTTCTACCATTTTAACAAATTCCCTAATCATTCATACTGTCTTTCTAACTATCATCATTGCTTTTATAAATGTATAATCTTTTGAATAATCTAGAGCTACACAGAACCATGAAAAATAAAGAAACCTAACTCTAAAGGAGAACCTAAACAATCTTAATTCTTTAAAGTTTAAAAGAAATACAGTAAATGAGGATTATATAGGGACATTTATGCATAGTTAATAGAGATTGTATAGGTATTGAATTCAAGCTTTTATCTCCACATACACAATAGTAGCTTAATGTGTAAAATCATACTCAATAAGCTGTGCTTTGCAAGGCATATAGAAAATGTTAAAAGGCTCATCTCATGCTATCATAAAATTTAATTGATAGGTTAAATAAATGAGATTAAATGAGTTATACAGGAGTGAATTTTAACTTTAAAGTCCATGAGTCCATAAATATCAAACATATACTATATGTAAAATACTGTGATAGATAATTACAAATTATCAGCTAAATAGTTAAACGATCTGAAAAGGTAAAGCTCCGTTGTATTAAAGTGACCATCAAAACTCAAAAACAGGTAAGAGAGAGAATTCCATGTATTCCACAGGAAAATAGTAGGTATTCAGCCACTGAAAACTAAGTTTTTATTAAATCTGGGGCTCAAGATATTCTTAGCAATAAAAGTTAGGAGGAAACCCAACATATTTTAACATATGTGGAATATCTTTCTATTTATGTCCTAAATAATATACGTATTTTTAATCACATTACATTCTTTCAAAATAAAATCTTTCATAGCCCCAAACACTTTTATTATCAGTAATTAAGCTGTATAAACAGGGTTACATTTTTAAAAAATGAACTAACCTGGGAACTTAACCATTATTTAACACTTTATTGCATTCATTCATTATTAAAAATATTGTATTTCTATGAGAAAGTATATTAAAAAAATGCATGCCGCCCTCTAAAAACCTTCAAAAGAATGCACTCATAAATGGGGAATTGTACATATAAGAAATAGGGACCTGACTTCAAACACTAAGATTTTTTGACAGCCTTTCACAGGTTAACAAATAGTAAGACTTTCTAAATTAATGAATTTTTAAGAATTTCTAACTTTTAAATGGCAGGAACAGATTTCATGTATTTTCCCTCATTACAGAGATAATCCTCAGAACTGCAGAAGTCTGGAGAAGCAAAATTATCTCTAGCTCTAAAGATATAAAAAGTTACCACTATGAATGATGAGTGACTTTAATCCTAAAGTAACATCAGAACTTTATATTAGCTAATATTCTAATAAAATTAAATTTCAAAAAAAAGGAGAACACTGAATTTTAAAAAGTGGCTCTTATACTGAAGAATATTTTATCCCATCAGTGACTTACATAACATTTGTTTATATGGCTTGAGTTCTTATTTGACCAAGATCGTGACTCCTGGCATAACGTGGTCTTGCAAATAAGTGGCGCTCTGTCAACTTTTCTGTCATTTCTCCCTTTCTGGGAGTACCAGACTCAATCTTTACCACACAATTCTAGTTTTTTACTGTTTTGCTTATAATTCCTAAAAGCCACATTTACAAATTAGTAGTTTATAGTTTAAGTCTTAAAAATGCCTGCATCAGAAATAATTGAGTAGGATACAGGAAACGGAACATCCTATGCCAACATAAAAAAAAGGACATTTATAGTTTAAGAACTTCTCTAAACTTTTCCTTTCCTCATTAAATAAATAATTTGAACTATAAGGAGAAAACATACATCATTTGGTCATCCACTGGTCATTACTGGTTTATTTATATCTTAAATTTTAATCCATGACTCATGATCTATAAGTTGAAACAGTATGTGTGGTACAGCTGAAAGAAGTATATAAAATGGCTAAAGGATGGGGGTTTGAAGCAAGACACCCAGGCTTTGAATCCTGGCCTCCTGTGTTGGCTTACGAAAGTCACATAACATATCAGAGAGTTCAATCACCTTGTCTGTCACGCGGGTGTGCTAAAGCTTACACTGCGGGTATCCTGTAAAATTGTCAAGTAGGGCCCAGGACATTACAGGCACTAACGGTTGTAAAGTATTATATTAGCACAGTATGCGAAAGGATTTACACACTTAAGTGATTTAATTTATATGTGTGTCTGAACTGAGATGAAACAGGTGTCTAATAGTACAATTAAAAAAAAAATCAGTTATTCATTTATGCAATGAAATGCTGCTCTACCTAATTCTTAAATGAGGGAGCAAAGCAATTAAAGGCACTTCTTTTCGGAAAGTGGAAATTTTAAAGACCAAGAATAAAATTTCATATTAAATCACTTGAAACATTTAAAGCACGTATCACATCAGACATCTAACCCCAGAGTATTTCATATACTCAAATGTAATGGAAAAACAAAAACAAAACAGGGGCTTCATAATAAAAATTAAAGTACTTATCAATGTTTCTCTTTTCTGTAAAGATAGAAATATAAAAATTTGAGATTAAAAAATGTATACCTGAAAACTATGTCCTTTCCAGACATCAGGATGACTTATGATTTATGCTCCAATCTGTTCACAAACTATTTACGCTCCAATCTATCTGTGCTCCAATCTGTTCATGAACTATTGACCTCTATGAACTCTACAGGCACAGCCCTCTAAGAATAGCTTTAAAAAATAGTCTTTTAAATCCTCAAAAGGGAAGTATCCTATGCCCCAGATTTATAGATTAATGCAAATTACTTTCTAAACTAATGATATAACTCAGCTTTCCAAACTAAAAACTTATCCAAAGGGTAATAAGCAGGTTTGAGATAAAATGAGTCAAATCTCACCAAGAAACCATTTTGATTTCTTGTTAAAAACCAGTTTCTGGTTGAAAAAAATTCAGATTTTTACACCAGTTACAAAGCAAAAAACCAACACACCCAACAAACAAACAAAAAACAGGCATGCCAATGCATATAAATTATTTATGTTTCTTTGCCATTTATAAAAATAGTTAAATTCAACTTTAGTAAAAGGTGTATTTTCATGGCAATTAAAAGTTAAACAGTTAAACATATTTCTATACCCTTTTTTTGAAGCACAGTTTTAAGTTCAACTGGATGAACATACTGATTTTATACTGATGATATGGCTTATTGTTTCTAAGTAGGAGTCTTTTAATAGCTGGGAAAGTTGGCTAATTTCTGTCAAACAATAATAGTAGATTTATTGAGTGCTTTCGATATACCAGACATTGTTTTAAACACTTTACATGTATCACTGCATTTAATTCTCAAAGCAGCCCTATAAAAAAAATCATCATCCCCATTTTACAAGAGAGGACATAAAATAGAGACATGATTTGAATCCAGGAGAACAGACTTTTGAATTCACATTCTTAATCTCTATCACTCTACTCTCTCAAATACTGAGAAATTCAACAAAAGTGTCATATTTGGCAAACAGCCAACATTTGTATTTTAAATAACTCTAACAAGAGGGTCATAGAATTTCCTCTAGGGACAAATGCAGAATCCAGTATATTTTCTAAAATTATTTCATATTAAAGGATGCAGAGTGCAGCACCTGGGTCTGAACCAATACATGCATACATTTTTGAGATGACTGCCAGACCTCTTTTCTGAGGAGGTATCAGACCTAAACCCATGCATATGAGATTGCTGAATCTTGCTTGTTTGGAAGACAAATATAAACTTATATAACTCAATGGCAATACTACCACCCTTTTGGCATGGTTGCATTTAAAGTATACAAGTCCTTATTTTAAACAACAAAACACTTGTGCTACTAACTTTTTTTTTGAATTTTTTCCAAAAACTTATTTGAGCCAAAGAAAGGATACACCTGGAAAGCAAGACCTCAACAGGTTGAGAGACATGCTCCCTATGCTACTAATATTTTAGGTAGCTAATGAACTATCTAGATCTAAGACTCATTTAAGACTTGTTTTGCTTCTATAATTATCAATTTCTAACTATTTCAGGCACCCATAGAAATGCCATTATTCAAACTTTACTGAAGTTAAATTCTTCGAGTTTAATTTGAAAGTAGATGGAGGAAAAAGGTGAAAAAAGGAATTTTTTCCCAGAGAAATTTTGTGTGTTTTCTTTTTGTAGCACAAATTCTATATAATTTAAATGTTTTCCTTTCTGTCTTAAGATTTGATGAAAAAGTCAAATTTAGAGCTCCAAAATGGCAGTAATTTTAGTACAAGTTATCTAATCACTTACTTTCCATAGACTGACTCTGACATACTTTTCTTTCTTTTTATGTAAACCTGCAACTGTTCCATTTTAAATAATATGTTCTTATGGAAACAAGCTGGACATAATACAACAAACGATATTATAAATCCTTAAGACAAATTAAAACTCCTAATAAAAGCAAAACTTTGGAATAGTTAACCTATTTTAACATACCAACTGCATCTTTTAGTTATTCTGAATAGTAAGAAATCTTTCCTACCTTGAGCCTATGAAATTAATATTAACTGAAAAGATACTTTTAGAATGAAAGTTATCTGGACTAGAAAAAGTCCCTTTATGAACTGAGAATGTCTAGAACCGTTTTTATCATTTGTATAAATTCTTAGTTACCTGAATCTATTTAGGCCATTAGAGAAAGCTTTTTTCTTTTTGCTTTGTATAAAACACTTCTATTAATTTAATGCAGTCATCTGTTCCTGTTACGTTAGTTTCATAAAAAGTCTATTCACTAGTATTCTATGAAACTTGGAATCATAAGCTTAATCCTAAAGATCTCTTAATCCTAAACCTCACAGTCTCTTTCTTTTTTAAAGAAAATTCTCTACCATGTCTCAATATTTCTACTGTTGTCAATAGGAAAGCATTGACTCAACAAAATTCCAGTGACCTGAATGGATTTTAATACCCACTTTCTGTTCCAAAACTGAAGTTATAAAATAAAATTCTGATGGAAAATAAGGCTAACAAGGCTTCATATGCTTAATTAAATCAGCACCAAAGAGCTTTCCCTTTTAGCTCACGATTAGGAATATGTGGGTCAGAGAGATTAATTCCAGACACGTGTGTTTTCTATGAGAGTTCTATTGTGGCTTCCTGCTCATGGCTCCTAGATTTATGACTAAAATTTTCCAGACCTTAATTTTAAAAAATATAATCTGTAATTAGAATAGCTAAATAGGCAAGTTTAAATTATTAACCCATTAAAAAAGATGATACAGAGAGAGCACGCATTTAAAGAAAGGAAGCCTAAATATGACATTAATTATCTGCCTTTTACAATCCTAATTATGATCAGTATCTCTGGATGTAGCTCTAGACTTGAGTCTTCTTCTACTCCCTACTCAGTCCTAAAGCTAGAACTTCAGGACAGTTCAGAATGCAGCTTCACTTTAAGTTCCCACTGCAAAACCCTCAATCATAAGCAGACCACTGGTTTGCTTAAGCTCAGGTCAAACGGTGCCACCTCTGACTGTCAAAGGTCCTTTCCCACTAATAGAAAATCTGAATATGACAGCTAAAAGGAAAAAGATTTAATTGATTAGATTCTTTCTACACACAGATTTCTTTGACACTTTGAGGGGTTTCCTAAAATTTCCTTTCTGAGGTATTCTGAGTACCTACCCTTTGTTAGTAAATACTAAGCCAGACACAACTGTTCCCAGAAAGTCTTCTAAAGCAGTGTGTCTCAAACATTAATTACCCAGGTGTAATTTGCATACCAATCACCCAGGTGTCTTGTTCAACTACAGTCTGATTCAGCAGAGTCTAAAATGAGGCCCAAGAACCCGCAGTACTAGTAAGTTCTCAGGTTATGCTGATCCTTGCTGATCTGAGGAGCACACTTTGAACAGCAAGGTTCAAAAGAGTATTTTCAAGTTTTATGAACAAATGCTTCCTCTCATATTCAAAGGCTTAAACTGTACCTAAAATTTATTCACCTGCAAAATCAGTGATGTAATTTCTAAGGTCCCTTCTGTTCAGTGACTCTATAATTTATTATATCCATCTCTTATCCCCACCCCCAATTCAGTGAAGTAAAAATAATATGATTGCAGTAACTTACTGAAAAGTATGAATTATTCCTTCCATCTGATGCTTTAATCGTTTTTAAAGAAGCTGCTGAACACTGAACCAAGTACCAAGCAATAATTTATCCTTCTGAACAAAAATCCATACCGATTTTGTTATTGTTTCTAAGAAAAAATAAATTCTAATATTCCTATTAAGAATGTCACATACCAACTCTGGCAGCAGAAGGTACCAAAAAGTGGATTTGTGAACCTTGCTAACTTTTTTTGTGAAGTATCCAAATATTTTTCACTGAAATCCTATTTGATTCTTAAAAAAATATATTCGAGTCTCTAAAACTTTTTCTAAACTGTGGTCTCTTTTGTTTTGGTCTAGGATGCTAACCTCTCTCCACCCTCAGGCTTCTTGAGTGTAAACAGTTTACAAAGGAAGGGCCTGTTGGTGCTCTGAAATCCGGAGAGGCAGCTTGGTCCCCTTTCAGTTACCCCGATCATCTATGCCTGTCAGAGTTAGAGACCCTTGAGAAAACCAGAAAGAGAAAAGTAGTTTATATTTTGTCCGTGGACATATGACAAACTGTACAAAGGATTTAGATAATCTCATACATAAGCCATTTATTCTATACTGGAGTAACAGCAATTTCCAAAGTGTCTCTGTGACTGTGTGTTTTGGTAAAATGGATTCTAACTGAAATATTTTAGGGAAAAACCTAAAATAAATTTTAGTTTTGAAACTACAAAACTGTATGTAGTGGGGCCCTGACCAATGTGGCTCATTTGGCTGGGTGTAAGTTCCACAAAACAAAAGGTCGCTGATTTGGTCCCCAGTCACACGCATGCCTGGGTTGCAGGTTCAGTCCCTGGTCAGGGTGCGTACAAGACCACATTGATACTTCTCTTCCTCTCTTTTCCCTTCTCTAAGAAGAAATAATACCTAATTTTTTAAAAATAAAACTGTATATAGTGAGTATATGTATAATAGTTATCAAATCCCTATATGTGTGGATACTTGTCTAAGTAAATTTATTGGAAAGCTATGTAGAATATCTTATATCGAAAAACTTAAATTTTAAAAGTTAGTATTTCTACAGTGCTTAAGACTGTGTGAGGTATATAGTATGTGTTTTGTTTTTTTTTTTTTTAAAGTAAGAACTTGTTAAATAAGTTAAGTGCTATGTCTGATCCTGAAATTTTCTTTTTAAACCAGAAGTTTGTAACACTTGTTATCTCCAGAGCTTGAGGTGAATGCCGGGCTATGGAAGGACAACACTCTACTTTTCTTCAGGATAACCTGAAGCCATTCCTTTTACAAACTTTACTCAAGAACTATTTCTGTCAAAAAGAAATAATTTCACTTAATTTTTCACCAAATGAAAGTTTGCAATAAACAAGGTTCATGCTGCTATCTATTGCTAGAAGTGAGCCCAAATCTCAGACCTCACGGAGAATTTCATTCTAATCCCCTTTGCCACAGTAGGCTGCTTCCTCCATATGGTAGAAAGTTTTCTTCTTATATAATAGCTGCTTAAAAATAAATTTTATTTGCATAGCAAGGTTAAGTTCCAGGTGCAACATTGTGCAAATTAAACACTTTTTAAAAAAATTTATTGATTGGTGGGGGAGGTTGAGGGAGAGAGAGAAAGACAAACATCAATCTGTTGTTCCACTCATTTATGCATTCATTGGTTGATTCTTGTTATGTGCCCTGCCCAGAGACAGAACCTGCAACCTTGGCCAACGGGACAATGCTCTAACAAGCGAGCAACCCAGCCAGGGCGAGCATTATGTAAATTTTTAAAAGACCCTAAAAGGAGTAGACAAAAGAGCAAAGGTCAAAAAGATGCTAAATTCCTGATTTAGGAAAAGGTTGTAATTATAGAAACAAAAAATGTATTTAGAAGGTACCATGCACAGAAATATATTTAATAGCACTGATTCCATTATTTGAAGTTAAACATTACCTTGTGGAGTTTAAGTCATTACATTTCAGATAGCTAACAAAATGGTTAAAAAATATGAGTACTTTGAAGAAAAACTGCAGATTGAAGGTTGCCATTTTGCAGAATATTTTTGTTGTTTCTTTCTTTCAGAGGCTATGTGGCCCCTCCCACTTGTTCTATGCCCTGCCTGGCTATTTCTTGATGTTCTTTTTTCTACTGCGTCCATTATGCATCTCTGTGCCATTTCAGTGGATCGTTATATAGCCATCAAAAAGCCAATCCAGGCCAATCAATATAACTCACGTGCTACAGCATTCATCAAGATTACAGTGGTGTGGTTAATTTCAATAGGTATGTGGGGAATGTCAGGGTGGGTGTATGTAGCCTTTGGTTCCATTTGGCCTGGAGAGTAACAGGCTGGCAGGCCATGAAACTCAGCATGGGAAGGCAAGGCAGCTTCCTTGACACGCCCTCACCGGCTCCCGTGCCATTACTGACTCATCATACAGCTTCTAAACCATACTATCCGCAAAAATGTGAAAAAGCAGAAAAGCTCATGTTCTCAGAAAAAACCATCTTCACGTTTACTGAAATATCTTCCTGCTTTGATTTTGTCATGCAGGAAGGGTAAGTCTGAAACCAGTTTTCACATTTGGTAACAGATTATTAAGGTCTAGGTAGCATACAGAACCCCAAAATGATACTAAAACAACAGTAACAAGAAGTATCTTAAATCACATCAAAGAAAATAAGTAGGAAAAAAGAAAAAAAAAATCTAAGCATTTTATATGGTGGTATCAAAGATCATAAATTTATCTTGGAAGGAAATATATGTACATATTAAAAGGCAGTAAATGTCCTGCTTAAGTGTTTTAAATGTTTAATTAGAAGCTTTAAGAGATGTAAATGATGTTCAGAAATGATTTATAGAAAGAAATAATATTTCTTCTAAACTGTCTTATGCCTTTGTGCCCATCTTTAATCTGCAACAATAGCTGCTATCATATAGCATCTTAGCATGAAGTGCAGCATGAGTAACTCAAACTCCTTATAAGTTAATATCAGAAAAACAAACAGATTCACAATTACTATGATCATTCATAGTCTGATGAGCAGATTCACTTCTTCAAGGTATAAAAAATTTAAAGAAGAAAAGAAAATCAGGAGAGACCTAGGATGCTAAAAGGAAAGCAAGAAAAAGATACGACGTCTCTCTAATCAGAATAGGAACACTGGGGCAAAAAAGCAAGACAGTGAAATTGACCTTTTATTCCCGAAATAATGATATCAGGGCCAAACCTCTTGAAAAGTCTGGAGTTAAAAGTAAGCAGTATTACTACTGTGGCTTGGGAAGAAAGTAGGGTCAAGAAAAAGTCTATTCGGAATGGAGAGATTTACAAACAGTGAGAAAAGGCTAGTTTGGGGGGCAGAGGCTGACTGACAGCTGGAGAGGCTCTCCAAAAAAGCAGCGGGGGAAACAGCATGGGAGATAGTGGGTGACAAATACTGAAATTCAAAGTGAAGAGAAGGAAACTTAAAGTAGTTCATGTTAAATGACCCAGAGCTTTTGTTAAGTTCACTGCGATGAGGAAGAGGAAAAGAGAGACAGGGCGAGGTGTGTGTACTGGGGTAGGGTGGGGAGAACAGGCAAAGCCAGGAAGAAAGTAAGAGAAATGGATTCTTAAGAATTGAAACATTTGAAACTGTGAAATATGATCAAGCCAATATATAAAGAGCCTGCTGGTAGATACGGTACCTCAATTAAGGCTGAATAACATGAATTTATAAGCTGATCAAATGTTTATGGAGTACACAGGACGTGCTAGGCACTAAGACTACAAAAATGAGTAAGAAAAAGGACTGCTACACTCAAGGAGGGGGAATATATTAAGTAAATTAGACTAATACAAAGTTATAAGTATGCAGAAATACAAAATATAAAGACCTCACATTTATAACTTTGGAAGGGATCTTACATATTTACTTTTTCCTTTTGTAAGTAAGGGGAAAACCTAGAGATTTTAAGCAGCCGGCTCAAGGGCTCTTACAGCTTTTCGGCACCAAGGCCAGGGTGAATGCTCTTCATTGCATCACTGTCTTGTAGAAACAATGACAATTTAGTAACTTAGTAAAAGAAAAAGCAGATGATGCGTTAGTTCAGTTTTTAAATTCTGCCAAGTGCTGAAAAGAGCTCTCTTTCTTCTGAATTTATGGTTATCCTAGGTAATGCCTGGCAACAGTAAGATACTTAAGGGAGAATAAGGTAAGGGTATAAGAAGTACAAGTAGAAACTAAAATGTTTCTGTACTGACCATCAAGCTGGTTGAGGAGGTAATGTGAGCATTATGAGGTTAATAGAGTGTGAAAAAAGAGAAGAAAGGATGGACTAGAGACCAAGATAACCGAAAGAGATGTTCTACAGCAATGAACAGCAGCAGGACAAGAAAGGAATAGGTGAGGTCATGATTTTAGATATGGGATACTTTTAAATGAACTTATGAATGGCTTCAGGATTACAAATAATAATAATCAGAATCGAGAAGTTCAAGAAAATAGAGTTAAGGTGGTAGAAGGGTCATCAGTGGGATGAAGTCATGAAAGATGATAGCAAGAGAAGAGTGGAGAAGACGATTATGACAAGGAGCTACTGAGCAAGATGGACAAATATCCTGGAGACTGGTAGATAAATGGAGAATAGAGTGGTATAAATTGATCAAACAGGCCTTAAAAGGAAGTGTTTTGGGGGGAAGGAACAGACGAATGTTTACCTGGAAGTAAGAGGGTAGAGCAGGGGTCAGCCAACTTTTTCTGTAAAGGGTAAAATAATAAATATTTTAAGCTTGCTGGCTCTTTCACAGCTATTCAACTGCATCAGAACAAAAGCAGCCACAGAAATACATAAACCAGGAGTACATTTGTGTTCCAATAAAATTTTATTTACAAAAACAGAAGGCAGGCCAGACTGAGCTCTCAAGCTGTAGTTTGCTGACCCCTAGTGTAAGTATAGAGAATCCCCCTTCTGGTGGTTTTCCCGTGAAAAGTGGAAAAAGTATGGCCTCCGAGAAAGGGTTTAAGGAAAACATTCTTGTCAAGGGCTCTTTAGCTGCCATAAAAAGGCTGTACAGACAGCATAGTACTTTTAGATTCACAAAACAACACAAGGATTCTAGAGGTTTCTAAAGATTAAATTCAAGACTTATTTTTAAATATCTTCTGTTTCAAAAGGAAAAGGATTCAGGCTAATAGTGTGTTACTTGTCTTCATAATAAGCTACTTCACCAAGCAAGGTCAAATTTAAATATTTCCTTTATGGTATTTAAAGTATTAGAAAGTCAGCACGAGGAACAGTTCTCTCATATCTATTAGAGGAATTTAACCCGGAAAATAAATTTCACGATTCACATACTCTCCAAGTTTTAAGTAGCATTTTTAAAAAACAATGAACTCCTTAGTTTTCCCTAAGAAGTAAGAAGTAAAAGATTAAAAGACATTCGCAAACATCAAAAAAGAACTATCTGTTAAAAGGAACTGTGTAACATCAAAGATAACAGATACTGATTCAGAATTAAGATATTGCATAAACATACTGTGAAGTCTCTTAGATCAACGAACTACACTGAATATTAAGATAAAAGGAGCTTTTCTTTTGATTTCCTCTTCCTTAACCTGGGATAGATCAACAAACAAAATAGCTAATGAGAAACAGAGGATAAACAAAGACATTCTCTACTATTTCATGAACATACTATAGCGTTAGGGAAGCTTTATTTTTAAGCCTGAAATCACTAAACAATCTCTATTTAAAAACAGCAGGTTGGTTTACTTAGGTTCTACTTGTCAAATCTTCCATTGATTAAGTGTTTGACAAATTCTGCATTGTGGGTATCAGAAATTACAATACACTAACCACAAAAAGTCACTAAAATCAACTCTAAAAGGACCCAATCTAAGAATCAAAGATCATAAAATTAACTTAGTTTATCTTGTTTCCTCTTCCTTAGGCATTGCTGTCCCAGTCCCTATTAAAGGGATAGAAACGGATGTGAGTAACCCAAATAACATCACCTGTGAACTGACGAAAGCTCGTTTCGGCAATTTCATGCTCTTCGGCTCCCTGGCTTCCTTCTTCACACCTCTGGCGATCATGATCGTCACCTACTTCCTCACTATCCATGCTTTGCAGAAGAAGGCTTACTTGGTCAGAAACAAGCCACCTCAACGCCTAACATGGCTAACTGTGTCCACAGTTTTCCAAAGGGATGAAACGCCTTGCTCATCGCCTGAAAAGGTGGCGATGCTAAGTGATTCTAACAAAGACAAAACTCTGCCCAATTTAAGCGATGACATACTTATGCGAAGAATGTCCACAGTTGGAAAAAAGTCATTGCAGACCATTTCAAATGAACAGAGAGCCTCAAAGGTTCTAGGGATTGTGTTTTTCCTCTTTTTGTTTATGTGGTGCCCCTTTTTTATTACAAATATAACTTTAGTTTTATGCGATTCTTGTAACCAGACTACTCTCAAAATGCTCCTGGAGATATTTGTGTGGATAGGCTATGTCTCCTCAGGAGTGAATCCTTTGGTCTACACCCTCTTCAACAAGACATTTCGGGAAGCTTTTGGCAGATTCATCACCTGCAATTACTGGGCCACAAGATCAGTAAAAACTCTTAGAAAATGTTCCACTAGTATCTTCCGAAATCCAATGGCAGAGAACTCTAAATTTTTCATAAAACATGGAGTACGGAACGGGATCAATCCTGCCATGTACCAGAGCCCACTGAGGCTCCGAAGTTCAACCATTCAGTCTTCTTCAATCATTCTACTAGATACACTTCTTCTCACTGAAAATGAAGGTGACAAAACTGAAGAGCAAGTCAGTTATGTATAAAGTGGCACAGTTTTCATCTAATGTAACGATGAGTAGGATGATGACGCAGATATAAATGTACCAAGAATTATATAAAGAACTTAAGTCATTTATCATATCTCTATAAACTAAGAGTTATGTATTAAGATTATCCAACTATCTTTATTTGGACACAGTTACTCCATGAAAAAAATAATTTTGACCCTGACTGGTGTGGCTCTGGTACTTTGGCATCATCCCACAGAGCAAAAGGTTGCTGGTTCAATTCCCAGTCAGGGCACATGCCTGGGTTGTGGGCTTGGGAGCGTGCAAGAGGCAACCTATTGCTGTTTCTTTTTCACATCTGTGTTTCGCTCCCTCTCTTTCTCCCTCCCTCCTTCTCTCTAAAAATAAATAAAATCTTAAAAAAAATCATTTTGTACAGCTACAAATTAAAATAATCTAGCACTCTGATTAAATGTTAAGGTATTCAAATAAAATAAAATAAAATAAATGAATAAATTTCAGGCTTAAAAAATAACATCTTCATAACAATTTATTTAGTTCCTACTTGTATGCAAAGCTGTGCTACAAAGGAAATAAAACAAAACAAACAAGCCTTACCCTGGTCTTCAATGCCTTAAAAGCATAAGGCATAACAACAGTGATAAAGGAACAAAGGACTAACAGTAAGTGTATAAAATAAAGATCATATCTGGAGATAAGATTGCCTTTAGAGTCTGATTTAGTTCCATGTAGTCAGTAGTCCTGACTTTGCTTTGATCAGGAAACTGCCTTGATGGAAGGAGTAGGGAGGACAGTAGGTGTATATCACAGAAAATAACAGGATCTTGAACTGGAGTTGTTACCTCGATCCAGGAATCTAAACTTTAATGGTCTCGTAAACTGAGATCATGTTGCCAAAGCCTGACCGAAGACTTGGTTGAATTTCAGGCACAAAATTTTTACATTTACCCTCTCATTATTTCATTTTGGGAATAAATCTAATCTGTATCACTTACCACCTGATTGATTTTCTCTGCCCCTCAGTTTCCTCATCTACACTTCACAGGGTTCTTGTGAGGGTGAGTACATGTGGACGTTCTGTAAATGGTAATTTTTTTTACTTTTAATATTTTACTTTTATGCTAATCTCATAAATTTAGGCAGAGGGGGTATGCAGTGAAGACAACACGTTTTTGTTTTTACTTTTCAGGTTGACCCATTTTTATACCTCAACCTACTGTTCTATTGCTCCCCCTTCTCCATGCAACTCAACTTAAGAAAATTACTTCAAGAAATATGTTGGCTATTAAGAAGTCCAGCCTAAGTAAACCAGGTATATTCTCTAAATGGCAGAATCATTTCCTACAACCGGGTTCCAATACATAGCTCTTACAGGTTCCATGTCAGCTGCCAGAAAGAGTAAATCTAACAAATTTAACTCCTAACTCACCAAAGCTTTTGTCCCCACAAGTCTGAGATTTTTCAGCAGCATTAAGGGTAGGCTATCTCAAATAAGAGGCAAAACAATTTGTTCCTAAAAAACAAAACAAAAAGCACATTCTTCTGTTCTGGTTCTAGTCTTTAATATTTGGATTTGGCATATGTTAATAAATGCTTATATCCTAAAAAAAAATAATAAATAAATAAATAAATAAATAAATAAATATATGTATAATATTCTTGCCAAGTGTTGTAAGATTTAAGTTTCCAGATATCATTCTAATAGCATTTCAAACTGTATCTTATGTGTCCTGAAGGCATCTATAATTGTTTCTTGAAATCTCAATACTAGAAATGGCAATCACACTGGCAAACTCTACCCTAAGAAATCTCAAGTGAAAGGACTATCTTCCCACACGCTCTATATTGCCTCCAAACTTGTGTGCTTACCCCGCCCCCCGACATTAGCTGGATTTGACTGTCCTGGGTAGAGCTCAGCAAAGCCTAAAAGCAGCTCTTGGGAGACATCTGCTGCTGAAACTGGGAATTGAGCACATGTGTGAGCTACAGGAACAAGGGCAAAATGAATTTTGTTCAAGAGCAAAGACCAGTCAGGTTAAAAAAAAAAAGAAAAAGTTTTCAATTATCTCATTAACTTCCTATGTGGCAGAATATGCACACAAGGCCAATGATTTACATGACATGAAATATAAAGTCACTCAACACGAGAATTAACAGCTGACAAGAAACATAACAAAGAAAGAGACTATCATGAGTAGGATTCTGTACACAAGCCACTTGCTAAGAGTACACGTAGAAGATACGGTTCCCATACTAAAATTACCTAGTTGCCCGATAAATTTTTTTTTAAACCCAAATATCTCTGGATGACAGTAATAAAATCATTTGTTTTTGTGTTTGAATTGTGTCTAAACTCTAGAGCAAAAGTATGGGAAGATGAGGGTCACAGCTTGGCTAGAATGACATACCAGAGATGACAGGAAGGAACTACAACTATTCAACTTTTATTTTGCTTCTTCCATCTTTTCTCTCAGGAGAATGATTTTTAGATCAGAAGGATAAAAAGTAGCCCTGGCTGGCGTGGCTCAGCGGATTGAGTGCTGGCCTGCGTACCACAGGGTTGCCAGTTCTATTCCCAGTCAGAGCGCACGCCTGGGTTGTGGGCCAGGTCCCCTGTGGGAGGCACGTGAGAGGCAACCACACACTGATGTTTTTCTCTCTTTCTCCCTTCCCCTCCCTCTATAAATAAATAAATAAAATCTTTAAAAAAAAAGTAATGTGAAGATGGATCAAAATGCAAAGTCGGCAAAGAGAATGTCTGCTTAAACGAGTTCAAGTCTCTCAGTTAAATGAACCTCCTGCTAGAAAGAGAACTTGTCAATGTAATTATGGAATCACTGCTGACAAACTTGAGGAAAACCAGAAAGTGGCAAAGGTACATAAAGGACGGTAAGTGGCTAAATAAAATATTTCAATGTTCAGAGAGAATCTTTTTAAGAAACAGGATTCGAAAAGTTAAAATTGTGGAGTCTGTTGCAGGTCTTTCAAAAAAAAATATACAATAGCTTAATACACATAGGTTTTGTTAGATCTTAGAAAAGATCTAAGAATCAATGAACACTTGAAACATCCACTGATTTACAAAGAAACAATAAGCAACTAATCATACATCCTGTGTTTGGGGTACCAGGCTAGCAGATTTGTGTCATACTTTGTCTTTAGAATTTAGTGAAGGCTCTCTAGTGTCTTTGTGAACAAGTTGGACAGATGAAGGTTAGAGGCTAATTGGATGAACATTAGCATCTGGCTGAACAAATCATCCAACAAAACTGACTGGTATAAGAAGAAACCAATTAGCATGAGACATGGGTCTGTGCTTTGCCGTTTTATTCAACATTTTATCCACAATAGGAAGAAAGTATTTTATATCTTGCAGTAATTGGATAGCTTCCTAGCTGGGATATGATGGAGGAGGTCCTGTAATGATCCACAGTGGATGTTCAGTAAGTATTTTTCAGTTATATCATAATCTTTACAACAGAGGTTCACTCCCAGGACCTCAGGGAAGAAAATCTACACCACAGATTAAAGGAACACAAGATGCTTGACTCATCTAACATGTACCTGGGAAACTTATTTTATTGTGTAATTTCACCACAAATAAGCTGTAACAAGCAGTGTCCAAATAGAGCTTGAGAAGTACTTTTAATTTTCCTTTATTATATTTAAGATAAAACAAAATAGTGGTATTTGAGATCAGAGCTAAGCAGACAATGGGAACTACTGGAAGAAGTACTATTGCATCTACCAACACTATTAAAATTACCACTATCACACACTTAAACAGGACTTACTACTGCCGGAGCCTGTCCTAAAGGCTTTAGATAATCATCAAAAAGCATTGTTCTCAAATAAGTACTAATACACACCCATTTCACAGACAAGGAACCTGAGGCTCCAGGAGGCTAAGACACCAGCCCAAAGTCACTCAGCTAGTAAGTGGCAGAGCCAGGACTCAATACAGGCGGAGCCAGCGTTCAACACAGGATTCTGAGTGTGTCCTCTTAATCACCACTATGTTCTACTGCCAAGAGCATCTCCAAATTTTCAAGTCCAAAATAATATCTTTATATCTGCAAACTTTTTGCCTTTTTACATTTAAACAAAGCCTATTACCTTTACTTTCATGAGAAAATTTCAAGAGTTCTACAAACCTGTGTAGGAGATGGCACCACATCTGAATTACCAATGTACACGGGAAAAGGAGTGCCGAAGGTGTTACTCAGATTTAAAAATTAATAAGGAGAAATGTTATGAATAAAGAAAAATAATAAAGTCATTTTACTCTTTCTCAAATAGGCTGTCAGAATTCCAAGACATACTTGCTTCTTTTTCAGGTGAACAGTATTAATCTTACTATTAAACGATCCTCACTCTGAACTTAGATATATTCCTCAGATATGAGTTTCTGTTTAGTTACTGACTATAAGAAGAAATGAAATATAAATAGAATTGGAAGTTAGAGATTATTACCTGAATAGAATGAACCCAAGTGATTCCACTGCTGCCCTTCTGACATCATCATTAACATCGCTTACCTAGGAAAAAATTTAAAGGACTGCATTACACCATGCATTTTATTACCAGAAAAAACTGATATGAGGCCCATAATATCATTCAAATGTAAATCAGACCTTATTAATATGTTATTCCTTTATTAGAAGGTCCTTCCCTAATTTAGAAAAACTCATCTGAGAATTTCTTCATCTTGGGGCTTAGAAGTTTTAAAACTTGGTGATGATTAAGATTCAGGGCTATTTTCTAAAGCCTATTCTAGCTGCATCATGGCTTTTGTGAGCTACACTGAACATCTATTCCTTCAACACTATTTTCAAAAACTTAGTCCTAAGGTTCAAGCAAAATACAAACATTTAGAATGTACCAGGTTCTGCACTGATAAAGGATAAATTACTAATAAATACTGTGGAATATGGGTATCCCTGGGAAGGAGGAGTTAATGATGGTTTAAAAAAACCCTTTCTGCATGGGAAGATGACTTTGGGTTTATCTTCTCCCAGCACCATGAGAGCAGAAACCTACTGAGTTAAGATGCATG